CATTGTAAATCTCCTTAAGATTTGGAAACGTTATCCTCCTGAGACCCAGCAAAACAAAGGTTGGTTTGGTCACAAAAAAACAATGTTACAAAAAACATGTTATTTTATTTTTTATTGTATTTGCACTGTAGTGGCCATTAGAACTCAGTTGATTATTAAATATGAAAAATGTAACGTTACAATAAATTGGGACAGTAGGTAAAACACATCCTGATTTATTTTTAAGTTTATTAACATCCTGATGTCTACTACAGAGGACATTTATTAACATCCTGATGTTCACTACAGAGGACATTTATTAACATCCTGATGTCTACTACAGAGGACATTTATTAACATCCTGATGTCTACTACAGAGGACATTTACACACACACATACACACACACACACACACACACACACACACACACACACATACACACACGCACACACACACACACACACACATCATCATTGTTAAGCACACACACACAAAAACCCCCTTCTCTTAGGCTGAACATCTGAAGACAGAGAACCCGACTCAGAGCCAATGCAATGGAGGTGACCTCGACCAACTCATCAGGACCAATCAGAAGATCAGAACTACTAGAATCAACCTACTTTATTTTATTGTATAAAATGTCAGCACACAATGTTTAGGGGCTCGCTCTCTCAGATATCTCCCTACGAGGTTGACGAACGGGTCCGTGCACGCGATTTCAGATATCTTTACCTCTGAATAAACTGCCTTATATTATACAATTATCCACCTTGTCCAAAAGTCTCTACTTGGTCTCCGTTCTCCAGTAAACTTGTGATTATCAACAATAGTAATGCACTAAATCAAGATTTGGCACACACATCAAGAAATATGTTGAGACGAATTACAGACAGGAGCCTACAAGTAGCAAAATAGAACTCAATTGATTGAACATTAAATGTATTTGAATATTATTTAAATAAGCCTATTCATGGCTTGCATGTTTCGTCACAATGTTGTTTTGAACGTTTGTTTTTGGACTGATGCCCGACTGAGCATTATAGTCAATGCATCGTCAATGAGCGCTGATAAAGATTTCATAAAAAGTGCATTACAGTGGCTTGGAAATACAATGACATTCAAAAGAAGACAAATAATTCGTAGGAAAACCTTTTGTCATTTTTTTGATGTCACCAGATTGACTTTAGATGCAGTATAACGCTAGCTAGCTAGCTAAGATTGAGAAGAGGCCAACAGATTTTAGCTAGCTAACGTCAGCATTGCTAGCTATTTTTGACGAACTTAACTAGTTAATGACAACATTGCTATCTGTCTAAAGTAAATTTGACGACATGATAATGCTGGCAAAGTTGTTTGACTACTTTAACAATGTCGTCATATTTCCAGGCACTATAGTGTAATTTAGATTAAACATTCGTTAGCCTCCATTCAGAATGGCTGGGTTCATCACCACCTTAGGGCACCACTATGGCGCCGCCAATAGAGGACGCCTTGAGAACGTTCATAACAATGGCATGACGCGACCGAGTGACGGAGGTGCAACGTATGAATAGCCTACTGTATTTATATTTTAATGCAGTCATCTCCGTTTGAATACGTCGCTTGTTTGTTTTATACGTCGCTTGTTTGTATTAAGTGCAAAGACATTGGCAACTCTATATTTGTAGTCAACTTTGTTATGATGTTATCGGCGGTCACAGAGAGGTAGATAAACCATGTGATTCTATGTTTCGCTGAGATCTTCAGTGTATAAAGTGACACAGGAGGGCAAAAAAAACATCTCAGCTGTTCTACAAGTGGTCTGAGGCAGATGTTAGAAGTGTTTTCAAGTGCAACGTTACGAAGGTTCTGACGATAAACTTAGCCTTACTTTTGGGAAACCGAGCCCAGAATATTCTCTTCAACGTACAATAGGACCTTACACGGTGGCATGTATGGCCTTAGCGATACGGACCAAATACGAATGAATTGCTGGGTCTCAGGAGGATATTATAGCATTAAAAACAGTATTAAAAAGTTCAGTAAGAAAGTTCAGGACAATTAGTACAAATATACATAGTATATAATAATATTGTAATATATACATGACAGCAAGACTGTCAGAAGTTGTATGTCCCAAATGACACCCTATTCCCTATATAATGCACATATTTGACTAGAGCCCTGTATGCCATGTCAAAAGTAATAATAATAATAATAATAATATGCCATTTAGCAGACGCTTTTATCCAAAGCGACTTACAGTCATGCGTGCATAAATTTTTGTGTATGGGTGGTCCCGGGGATTGAACCCACTACCTTGGCGTTACAAGCGCCGTGCTCTACCAGCTGAGCTACAGAGGACCACAAAGTAGTGCACTAAATAGGGAATAGGGTGCGATTTGGGACGGAGACAGGGTTTTCTCCTGGGTACTTAATGGAAACAACAGGGTTTTCTCCTGGGTACTTAATGGAAACAACAGGGTTTTCTCCTGGGTACTTAATGGAAACAACAGTAAGCCCCACTGGAGGCCGTAAGGCGTCAGCATGCTTCAGTTTGGCCCAATTCAGTTAGACAAACCAAATGAGTGTGCTCGCATACAGTGGCTTGCGAAAGTATTCACCCCCCCCCCCCCCTTGGCATCTTTCATATTTTGTTGCCTTTCAACCTGGAATTAAAATTGATTTTTGGGGGGTTTGATCATCTGATTTACACAACATGTCTACCACTATTTTTTATTGTGAAACAAACAAGAAATAAGACAAAAAAACAGAACTTGAGCATGCATAACTATTCACCCCCCCCCCCCAAAGTCAATAGTTTGTAGAGCCACCTTTTGCAGCAATTACAGCTGCAAGTCTCTTGGGGTATGTCTCTATAAGCTTGGCACATCTAGCCAATGGGATTTTTGCCCATTCTTCAAGGCAAAACTGCTCCAGCTCCTTCAAGTTGGATGGGTTCCGCTGGTGTACAGCAATCTTTAAGTCATACCACAGATTCTCAATTGGATTGAGGTCTGGGCTTTGACTAAGCCATTCCAAGACATTTAAATGTTTCCCCTTAAACCACTCGAGTGTTGCTTTAGCAGTATGCTTAGGGTCATTGTCCTGCTGGAAGGTGAACCTCCGTCCCAGTCTCAAATCTCTGGAAGAGTGAAACAGGTTTCCCTCAAGAATTTACCTGTATTTAACGCCATCCATCATTCATTCAATTCTGACCATGCCGATGAAAAACATCCCCACAGCATGATGCTGCCACCACCATGCTTCACTGTGGGGATGGTGTTCTCGGGGTGATGAGAGGTGTTGGGTTTGCGCCAGACATAGCGTTTTTCTTGATGGCCAAAAAGCTCAATTTTAGTCTCATCTGACCTGAGTACCTTCTTCCATATGTTTGGGGGAGTCTCCCACATACCTTTTGGCGAACACCAAACGTGTTTGCTTATTTTTTTCTTTAAGCAATGGCTTTTTTTCTGGCCACTCTTCTGTAAAGGCCAGCTCTGTGGCATGTACGGCTTAAAGTGGTCCTATGGACAGATACTCCAATCTCTGCTGTGGAGCTTTGCAGCTCCTTCAGGGTTATCTTTGGTCTCTTTGTTGCCTCTCTGATTAATGCCCTCCTTGCCTGGTCCGTGAGTTTTGGTGGGCGGCCCTCTCTTGGCAGGTTTGTTGTGGTGCCATATTCTTTCCATTTTTTAATAATGGATTTAATGGTGCTCTGTGGGATGTTCAAAGTTTCTGATGTTTTTTTATAACCCAACCCTGATCTGTACTTCTCCACAACTACCCCCATCTACCTAGCCCCAGCCACCTAGCCACATCTACCTAGCCCCAACCACCCAGCCCCATCTACCTAGCCCCATCTACCTAGCCCCAGCCACCCAGCCCCATCTACCTAGCCCCATCTACCTAGCCCCAGCCCCAACCACCTAGCCCCAACCACCCAGCCCCATCTACCTAGCACCATCTACCTAGCCCCAGCCACCCAGCCCCAACCACCTAGCCCCAACCACCCAGCCCCATCTACCTAGCACTATCTACCTAGCCCCAGCCACCCAGCCCCATCTACCTAGCCCCAACCACCCAGCCACCTAGCCCCAGCAGCTGGGATGAGTAATGCCACTGCCACCCATGACCTAAAGCATTTAATGAGAGTAATAGCAGCTACACGCACCAGGACAGAGTGACAGCATAGATTACATGGTCAATCTTTGGGATAATGAAGGACCCATGGCTACTGGTTGTAATAGATTCACTCCCCTGGAAGAACCGTCACAATTACCTATGTCACTGCCACTGACTGTGTACTACTGTTGTGGTGGTCTTCGTCCCAAATGACATTCTATTCTCTACATAGTGCACTATTTTTGACCACAGCCCGATGGGTGCCAATTGGGTGCCATTTGGGAGGCACCCTTGGTGAGAAAAGGAGATGGTGATGAATCTCTCTTTAACATCATCAATGATTAATAAATAGGAACTGGATTATTAGCCCTGGGAGATTCTCATTTCTGACCTGGTGCCCAGAAATCACCACATTTGTAACAGTTCTTTCTCTCACACTTCCCTTTTCTGTCGGGTTTTACTTATGTTGGCTTCCACTAGATCACCTCAGAGAGAGAAACGAAAACAAATGACCAGGCTTTCATTGAGAAAATCACCCAGAACCAGTCACATACCAGCATCCGACGTTACTATGGCAGAACAGAAAGAAACAAGACAGGTCCATGAGTAGATAGGGTAACGAAAGAGACGGATGTGAATCATAATAGCCTAGGAAACCGAATACCTAGGGCCAGAGGAGAATGAGAGGTGACACTCACATGACCTAGTTAGTAGATACAGACACAGAGAGTGACAATAGGTCAACATGGAGTGGGACTAGGTAGAGAGATGTGAGAAGATGGTAACTAGTAGAAGTAGAGAAAAGGTGAATAGGTATGAGCTGAGACACGAGGTGGTGAACTAGGTGAGGTGTAAGCAAAGAGAGGTCATAGTGTACGAGAAAGAGTGGTGACTAGGTGAAGATGTACAGAACAGATGGTGAATGGTGCAGGAGGTATGGAGGAAAAGAGAGAGATGGTGAATGAAGTTAAGAAGTGATAGTTAGAAAAGAGATGGTGAATAGTAGGAGATGGTGTGAAAGATGGGTGATGAGAGATTGAAGCAGAGTGTATAGGTAAAAGAGAAGAGGTGAATAGGTAGAGAGTGTAGAGAAAGAGAGGTGAATAAAGTGAGAGTAATGAGAAAGAGAGGGTGAATAGGTAGAGAGATGTAGAGAAAGAGAGGGTGAATAGGTAGAGATGTAGAGAAAGAGAGGGTGAATAGGTAGAGAGTGTAGAGAAAGGGAATAGGTAGAGGTGAGAAGAGAGGTGAATAGGTTAGAGAGAGTGTAGAGAAAGAGATGGTGTGAATAGTGTAGAAGAGAGTGATAGAGGATAAAGAGGTGATGAGAGATGTAGAGAAAGAGATGGTGAATAGGTAGAGAGTGTAGAGAAAGAGAGGGTGAATAGGTAGAGAGATGTAGAGAAAGAGGGGGTGAATAGGTAGATGAAGGAGTGAGGGTGAATAGGTAGAAGAGTGTATGTAGATGTAGAAAGAGAGGTGAATAGGTAGAGAGTGTAGAGAAAGAGGTGAATGGTAGAGAGAGAGAGAATGAGGGTGAATAGGTAGAGATGTAGAGAGAAGAGTAGGGTTGATAGGAAGAGGTTGTAGAAAGAGAGGTGATAGTGGGTTAGAGAAAGAGGGTGAATAGGTAGGAGAGTAGAAAGAGAGGTGAATAGGTAGAGATGTAGAGAAAGAGAGGGTGAATAGGTAGAGAGATGTAGAAAAAGAGAGGGTGAATAGGTAGAGAGAAGGAGGTTAGGTAGAGGTAGAGAAGAGAGGTGAATAGGTAGAGAGTGTAGAGAAGAGAGGGTGATAAGATAGTAAGATGTAGAGAAGAGAGGGTATAGTAAAGTAGAGAAAGAGGTGAATAGGTAGATGTAGAGAAAGAGGGTGATAGGGTAGAATAGAGAGGTGAATGTAAAGATGTAGAGAAAGAGATGGTGAATAGGTAGAGAGGTAGAGAAAGAGAGGGTGAATAGGTAGAGAGATGTAGAGAAAGAGGGTGAATAGGTAGGGAGATGTAGAGAAAGAGAGGGTGAATAGGTAGAGAGGTGTAGAGAAAGAGAGGGTGAATATGAATAGGTAGAGATGTAGAGACGAGGGTGAATAGGTTAGTAGAGAGATGTAGTGAGAAAGAGAGGGGGGTGAATAGGTAAGAGAGGTGTAGGAAAGAGGGGTGAAATAGGTTAAGAGAGATGTAGAGAAGAGTGGTGAATAGGTAGAGATTGTAGAGAAAGAGATGGTGAATAGGTAGAGAGATGTAGAGAAAGAGAGGGTGAATAGGTAGAGAGATGTAGAGAAAGAGAGGGTGAATAGGTAGAGAGAGGTAGAGAAAGAGAGGGTGAATAGGTAGAGAGATGTAGAGAAAGAGAGGGTGAATAGGTAGAGAGAGGTAGAGAAAGAGAGGGTGAATAGGTAGAGAGAGGTAGAGAAGGAGAGGGTGAATAGGTAGAGAGATGTAGTGAAAAGTTATATCAAATCCATCCATAGTACATTGTAAGTTTATACTTAATTGACATATTTCTCTCCCTTTTTAGTGGTAGATGGGTTCTACTGCCTGTGCAACCCTGGTTATGCTGGTGTGACGTGTGAGCAAGACATTGACGACTGTGCCAGCAACATCTGCAGCAACAACTCAACCTGCAGAGACCTCCACTTGGTGAGTTGATTTTATTTTGGGTAAAAGGCGAGCAAAAGGCTAGGAAGGATAAAACAATATCACGATATGCCTCGTTCATATCGATATCAAACAATATCACGATATGCCTCGTTCATATCGATATCAAACAATATCACGATATGCCTCGTTCATATCGATATCAAACAATATCACGATATGCCTCGTTCATATCGATATCAAACAATATCAATATGGTATTGTATTATCAATATTGTTGCCCACCACTAATAGAAATCTAAAATCCCAGAGGGTGACACATTAAAGCATGAAACAACACTTATATCCAATGTGGTTCTTGAAATGGATTAAGTCATATATTACATGCTTAGGCAGATATGAGGTGACAAAGCAGATTTGTTGTAATAAGTGGGAGGGGGGTAGATAGTGGAGAGTAGGGGGTCCAGCACAGAGCCCTGGGGGACACCCTGTATAACTGGAATGGAGTCTTAGGTGTGGCCAGTGAGGGAGTTTTCGGGTTTGTATGTTATGGTATGTCTTTGGTTTTATAACACTTGGGAACAATCAACATCTATTACTGTGTGTGTCTGCCATCACATCAACATTTACATAGTCTTACATTATGCTACATCCACATGTTTCTCTTCTTTTCTCTTCTCCATCTCTCTCTACTGTACGCTCTGTCGTTTGCCCTTTCCCTCCATCCTTTGTTCATTTATCTTCACACACTTTCTTTTCACTTTGTATTCTCTCTCTCTCTCTCTCTCTCTCTCTCTCTCTCTCTCTCTCTCTCTCTCTCTCTCTCTCTCTCTCTCTCTCTCTCTCTCTCTCTCTCCTCTAGCCTTTCTCTTCCGGTTTGTTCTCCTGTCTCTCTGTTCTCTCTCTCTCCTGGCTCCCCTCCTCATTCGCTCCCCTCTTTCTTTTCTCCCATCTTCCTTCTCTGCCCTCATGCTTCTTCAGCTACATGCAGGACAACCCTCACCTACACACCCTCACACACACATGCACACATACACGCATGCATGTACACACACACACACACACACACACACTTACAACCCTGCCTCCTCTCTCTAAATGAATAAACAAGGTGTTAGGATTCATACACTCCAGACTCCAGACTCAGAACTATAGGGTAGAAAATAGGATATCATTTATTTCTGTTGAATAATGCAAAACTCTGTTCTAGCTGGTTAAAATGGAGACAGGGCCAGGGAGGAATCAATTTATTTCACTAGTAGTGGAGCAGAACGGCTTTAAATGAAAGATTTCCACTTAGTAGTGGTGTTTGCGAACATTTAATAAATCCTCTCATAAGAATGTGAAGTATTTATGGTTAGTGTAATCACTATGGTCTATGTGCAGAGTGAGATGATTTGTCTGATGTGCTAAGCATTTCAATTTCTACTGCCAAGGATTTCTGCCATTTGTACTCTACTGTTATCCCTGTAGCATGTATCTCTTTGAATCCCATTGTTAATTATTGGAATGCATCCATTACAAGTGGATATGTCCCATACAACAAATACTCCATGTGCCTAGCTTCTATGAGAATATTTAGAGACATCAAGTACTTTTGATTAGATGTCAAAAGTAAGTCATCAAAGATGCATGAACTGTGCAAGCATATGGTTCACAGCAGCATGTTTAACAACACTCCATGATGATCAAACAGTCGACCAGGGACTTGACTGATTAACAACACTCCATGATGATCAAACAGTAGACCAGGGACTTGACTGTTTAACAACACTCCATGATGATCAAACAGTAGACCAGGGACTTGACTGATTAACAAAACTCCATGATGATCAAACAGTAGACCAGGGACTTGACTGATTAACAACAGTCCATGATGATCAAACAGTAGACCAGGGACTTAACTGTTTAACAACACTCCATGAAGATCAAACAGTAGACCAGGGACTTGACTGTTTAACAACACTCCATGATGATCAAACAGTAGACCAGGGACTTGACTGATTAACAACACTCCATGAAGATCAAACAGTAGACCAGGGACTTGACTGTTTAACAACACTCCATGATGATCAAACAGTAGACCGGGGACTTGACTGTTTAACAACACTCCATGATGATCAAACAGTAGACCAGGGACTTGACTGTTTAACAACACTCCATGATGATCAAACAGTAGACCAGGGACTTGACTGTTTAACAACACTCCATGATGATCAAACAGTAGACATGGGACATGACTGTTTAACAACACTCCATGAAGATCAAACAGTAGACCAGGGACTTGACTGTTTAACAACACTCCATGATGATCAAACAGTAGACCGGGGACTTGACTGATTAACAACACTCCATGAAGATCAAACAGTAGACCAGGGACTTGACTGATTAACAACACTCCATGATGATCAAACAGTAGACCGGGGACTTGACTGATTAACAACACTCCATGATGATCAAACATAAGACCGGGGACTTGACTGATTAGCAACACTCCATGATGATCAAACAGTAGACCAGGGACTTGACTGATTAACAACACTCCATGATGATCAAACAGTAGACCAGGGACTTGACTGTTTAACAACACTCCATGATGATCAAACAGTAGACATGGGACATGACTGTTTAACAACACTCCATGATGATCAAACAGTAGACCAGGGACTTGACTGATTAACAACACTCCATGATGATCAAACAGTAGACCAGGGACTTGACTGTTTAACAACACTCCATGATGATCAAACAGTAGACCAGGGACTTGACTGTTTAACAACACTCCATGATGATCAAACAGTAGACCAGGGACTTGACTGATTAACAACACTCCATGATGATCAAACAGTAGACCGGGGACTTGACTGTTTAACAACAATCCATGATGATCAAACAGTAGACCAGGGACTTGACTGTTTAACAACAGTCCATGATGATCAAACAGTAGACCAGGGACTTGACTGTTTAACAACACTCCATGAAGATCAAACAGTAGACCAGGGACTTGACTGTTTAACAACACTCCATGATGATCAAACAGTAGACATGGGACATGACTGTTTAACAACACTCCATGATGATCAAACAATAGACCAGGCACTTGACTGTTTAACAACACTCCATGATGATCAAACAATAGACCAGGCACTTGACTGTTTAACAACACTCCATGAAGATCAAACAGTAGACCAGGGACTTGACTGTTTAACAACACTCCATGATGATCAAACAGTAGACATGGGACTTGACTGTTTAACAACAGTCAATGATGATCAAACGGTAGACCAGGCACTTGACTGATTAACAACACTCCATGATGATCAAACAGTAGACCAGGGACTTGACTGATTAACAACACTCCATGAAGATCAAACAGTAGACCAGGGACTTGACTGATTAACAACACTCCATGATGATCAAACAGTAGACCGGGGACTTGACTGATTAACAACACTCCATGATGATCAAACAGTAGACCAGGAACTTGACTGTTTAACAAAACTCCATGATGATCAAACAATAGACCAGGCACTTGACTGTTTAACAACACTCCATGATGATCAAACAATAGACCAGGCACTTGACTGTTTAACAACACTCCATGATGATCAAACAGTAGACCAGGGACTTGACTGATTAACAACACTCCATGATGATCAAACAGTAGACCAGGGACTTGACTATTTAACAACACTCCATGATGATCAAACAGTAGACCAGGGAATTGACTGTTTAACAACACTCCATGATGATCAAACAGTAGACCAGGGACTTGACTGTTTAACAACACTCCATGATGATCAAACAGTAGACCAGGGACTTGACTGATTAACAACACTCCATGAAGATCAAACAGTAGACCAGGCACTTGACTGTTTAACAACACTCCATGATGATCAAACAGTAGACCAGGGACTTGACTGCATAGCTGAAGAGGTTATTGACATCCTGTAGGAATAGGATTCCTGACTGATTAAGTGTACGTTCCAAATGACACCATTGTCCCTATATAGTGTACTACTTTGACCAGGGCCAATAGGGCACCTTATTCCCTATGTAGTGCCCTATGGGCCCTGGTCAAAAGCTGTAAGTCGCTCTGGATAAGAGTGTCTGCTAAATGACTAAAATGTCAAATGTAAATGTAAATTTGGGAAGCAACCACTGTGTTAGTTAATACCTGTTTGATCTGATGCAAATCATATTTTTCTGTTTTGTCACTGTGTTGGCGTTTATGGAAATGAACATTGTTAATGATACACCTGTGGATGAAGCAGCGAGGCCCCCATGAGGTCCGCTTCGTAGTTGTTGTTTGGTAACATTGTTTGTTGCTGTTGCAGTAATGATCTAATATTCTATTCCATTAGTAGCATGGCTGACACACACACACACGTTTGCACGCGTAAGCACGTACACACACACACATTCACACACGCGCACACACACACACACACAACTGATTACTGTACATTTTGTGTTAAATCATTGCAGTGTCCTACCCCCTCTTATGAATAGGGACCTGCAGTGTACAAATGATATCAGACAAAGCTGAACAGCTCCCCTCCAGTGTATGCAATACAGATTAGCAGGTGTTCAACCAGCAGCAAGCACAACACACACACACATGCACACACACACACACAGACTTACACACGCACACACACAAGCGCGCACACACACACATACACACGCACACACGCATGCACACACATACAGACACACGCACACACACCGTACCTTAGACATACACAGGAACGTTGGCTGGCATTGAAGAATTCCGGATACCCCTTGACAGTTTGACCCCCTTAATTTTGTATGCAAAGAGGATTGTGTTCAATTAAACCTGCCTGATCCTGGCCAGGAAACTAATAGACAACAACCCATTCATCTCCTACACCTTGATTAATTATCATAATGAAGATTTTAATGACGAACTGGAGGACATACTTTAATGAAGAGAACACAACTCAAGTAGTCCACAGACTTTAACGAAGAGAACACAACTCAAGTAGTCCACAGACTTAATACAAAGAGAACACAACTCAAGTAGTCCACAGACTTTAACGAAGAGAACACAATAATAATAATAATAATAACAATAATATGCCATTTAGCAGATGCTTTTATCCAAAGTGACTTACAGTCATGCGTGCATACATTTTTGTGTATGGGTGGTCCCGGGGATCGAACCCACTACCTTGGCGTTACAAGCGCCATACTCTACCAGCTGAGCTACAGAGGACCACAGAGTACCACAACTCACGTAGTCCACTGACTTAATACAAAGAGAACACAACTCACGTAGTGTACTGACTTAATACAAAGAGAACACAACTCACGTAGTGTACTGACTTAATACAAAGAGAACACAACTCACGTAGTTCACTGACTTAATACAAAGAGAACACAACTCACATGGTTCACTGACTTAATACAAAGAGAACACAACTCACGTAGTGTACTGACTTAATACAAAGAGAACACAACTCACGTAGTGTACTGACTTAATACAAAGATAACACAACTCACGTAGTGTACTGACTTAATACAAAGAGAACACAACTCACGTAGTGTACTGACTTAATACAAAGAGAACACAACTCACGTAGTGTACTGACTTAATACAAAGAGAACACAACTCACGTAGTTCACTGACTTAATACAAAGAGAACACAACTCACGTAGTGTACTGACGTAATACAAAGAGAACACAACACACGTAGTGTACTGACTTAATACAAAGAGAACACAACTCACGTAGTCCACTGACTTAATACAAAGAGAACACAACTCACGTAGTGTACTGACTTAATACAAAGAGAACACAACTCACGTAGTCCACTGACTTGAACGTAGAGTACGGGGAGAAAAATAGAAGAACTCAACTCAAGTCATGCAGTGAAAGTCCTCATAGATTTGGCTGAGGTTTGTTTTCAAAATGCAAATTGTGATCGTGGGCTTTCTCTTTGTCGGTTTGCTCTGCTAAACAGTTTTGAAACAAAGATACATTATATAAAGATAAATGATAGTAGTAAAAAAGCTTTGGAGCACCTTAAATTACATTTTGGGCAAAATGGCAAACTGGGCTCCATCATTCATTGAATCAGATTGCTCATTCATCACAAAACCCACTGATATTTCCAGAGGTCTCTTCACAGTCCCCAAGTCCAGAACAGACTATGGGAGGCGCACAGTACTACATAGAGCCATGACTACATGGAACTCTATTCCACATCAACTAGCTCATGCAAGCAGTAAAATCAGATTTAAAAAAACAGATAAAAATACACTTATGGAACAGTGTAAAGAGACACACACACAGGCACAGACACGCACACACACACATGATGACATAAGCACTATACACACACGTAGACATGGATTTTGTGTTGTATATATGTGGTAGTGGCCTGAGGGCACACACTTAAAGTGTTGTGAAAAGTGGACTCCACAAGGTGTCAAGCGTTCCAAAGGGATGCAGGCCCATGTTGACTCCAATGCTTCCCACAGTTGGCTGGATGTCCTTTGGGTGGTGGACCAATCTTGATACACACAGGGAAAACTGTTGAGCGTGAAAAACCCAGCAGCGTTGCAGTTCTTGACACACTCATACCGGTGCGCCTGACACCTACTACCATACCCCGTTCAAAGGCACTTAAATATTTTGTCACCCTCTGAATGGCACACATACACAATCCATGTCTCTATTGTCTCGAGGCTTACAAATCCTTCTTTAACCTGTCTCCTCCCCTTCATCTACACTGATTGAAGTGGATTTAACAGGTGACATCAATAAGGGATCATAGCTTTCACCTGGATTCACCTGGTCAGTCTATGTCATGGAAAGAGAAGGTGTTCCTAATGTTTTGTCCACTCAGTGTATACAGAAGTAACAAATGCTAACAAAGTCGTACCTTGAAATGCCTTGAACATTTTAAAAGAGGTGGGTGGTAGTTGGAGGATACAGTAGTGGAAATTCCAAGTCAACCATGACTATTCCACAGATTAAAGCTACAATCTGCGATCTGGGAAGTTACAAATGCATATGTCTTACACTGAACAAAAATATAAACGTAACATGCAACAATTTCAAAGATTTTACTGAGTTACAGTTCATATATAAGGATATCAGTAAATTGCAATAAATTCATTAGGCCCTAATCTATGGATTTCACATGACTGGGAATACAGATATGCATCTGTTGGTCACAGATAATTAAAGAAATTGGTGCGTGGATCAGAAAACCAGTCAGTATCTGGTGTGACCATAATTTGCCTCATGCAGTGTGACACATCTCCTTCACATAGAGTTGATCAGGCTGGTGATTGTGGCCTGTGGAATGTTGTCCCACTCCTTTTCAATGGCTGTGCAAAGTTGCGGGATATTGGTGGGAACTGGAACACTCTGTTGTACACGTCGATCCAGAGCATCGAAACATGCTCAATGGGTGAGATATCTGGTGAGTATGCAGGCCATGGAAGCCTCCAGAAATTTGTGCAGATCTTTGCAACATGGGGCTATGCATTATCATGCTGAAACATGAGGTGATGGGCCTCAGGATCTCGTCACAGTATCTCTGTGCATTCAAATTGAAATCGATCAAATGCAATTGTGTTAGTTGACCGAAGTTTATGCATGCCCATACCATAACCCCACCGCCACCGTGGGGGACTTTGTTCACAACATTGACATCAGCAGACCGCTTGCCATCTGCCCGGTACAGTTGAAACCGGGATTCATCCGTGAAGAGCACACTTCTCCAGCGTGCCAGTGGCCATCGAAGGTGAGCATTTGCCCACTGAGGTCGGTTACGACGCCGAACTACAGTCAGGTCAAGACCCTGGTGAGGACGACGAGCACACAGATGAGCTTCCCTGAGACTTTTTCGGACAGTTTGTGCAAACCCACAGTTTCATCAGCTGTCCGGGTGGCTGGTCTCAGACGATTTGTAGGTCCTGGGCTGGCGTGGTTACACAGGGTTTGCAGTTATGAGGCCGGTTGGATGTACTGCCAAATTCTCTAAAACGACATTGTAGGCAGCTTATGGTAGAGAAATTAACATTCAATTATCTGGCAACAGCGCTGGTGGACATTCCTGCAGTCAGTATGCCAATTGCACACTCCCTCAAAACTTGAGACCTCTGTGGCATTGTGTTGTGTGACAAAACGGCACATTTTAGTGGCCTTTTATTGTCCCCAGCAAAAGGTGCACCTGTGCAATGATCATGCTGTTTAATCAGCTTCTTGATATGCCACACCTGTCAGGTGGATTCATTATCTTGGCAAAGTAGAAATGCTCACTAACAGGGATGTAAACACATTTGTGCACAACATTTTAAGAGAAATAAGCCTTTTGTCCATATGAAAAATGTCTGGGATCTTTTATTTCAACTCATGAAACAAGGGACCAACACTTTATGTTGCGTTTATATTTTTGTTCTGTATGCATTTCCCCAGCCCCGTCCCTCAGCTTTTTACCAAAACAAGTGGTGGTACTAATTTTTTTCTAATGCCAGATTGTAGCTTTAAACATATTTTCCCAGGAGAGGTATTTCTGGCTGAGTGGGATGTTGTAGTATAACATTCTTAAGTATTCATATGAATATAATTAAACGCTGCATATAGTAACAACTGTATCACAATATTATTACTCAACGTGTGGGAGATTAAACTTGGGTACCATATTGGGCAACAAAACCTAATTGACGTTAAGCTCATTCAGTGAGACATTTGTTGGCAGCGGTGGGATAATATTACAGTTAAAGTCGGAAGTTTACATGCACTAAGTTGACTGTGCCTTTTATCAGCTTGGAAAATTCCAGAAAATGATGTCATGGCTTTAGAAGCTTCTGATAGGCTAATTGACATCATTTGAGTCAATTGGAGGTGCACCTGTGGATGTATTTCAAGGCCTACCTTCAAACTCAGTGCCTCTTTGCTTGACATCATGGGAAAATCAAAAGAAATCAGCCAAGACCTCAGGAAAAAAATGTGTAGACCTCCACAAGTCTGGTTCATCCTTGGGAGCAATTTCCAAACACCTGAAGGTACCATGTTTATCTGTACAAACAATAGTACGCAAGTATAAACACCATGGGACCACGCAGCCGTCATACCGCTCAGGAAGGAGACGCGTTCTGTCTCCTAGAGATTAACGTACTTTGGTGCGAAAAGTGCAAATCAATCCCAGAACAACAGCAAAGGACCTTGTGAAGATGCTGGAGGAAACAGGTACAAAAGTATCTATATCCACAGTAAAACGAGTCCTATATCGACATAACCTGAAAGGCCGCTCAGCAAGGAAGAAGCCACTGCTCCAAAACCGCCATAAAAAACCCAGACTACGGTTTGCAACTGCACATGGGGACAAAGATTGTACTTTTTGGATAAATGTCCTCTGGTCTGATGAAACAACAATAGGAGTTTTTTTGGGGGGGATGGAAGTATTACATTTTACAGTTGTTGGAATCTGTCTCTTGGGTCAACGTTATGTTTGGAGGAAAAAGGGGGTAACTTGCCAGCCGAAGAACACCATCCCAACCGTGAAGCAACATCTCAAGACATCAGTCAGGAAGTTAAAGCTTGATCGCAAATGGGTCTTCCAAATGGACAATGACACCAAGCATACTTCCAAAGTTGTGGCAAAATGGCTTAAGGACAACAAAGTCAAGGTATTGGAGTGGCCATCACAAAGCCCTGACCTCAATCCTATAGAAAATGTGTGGGCAGAACTGAAAAAGCATGTGCGAGCAAGGAGGCCTACAAACCTGACTCAGTTACACCAGCTCTGTCAGGAGGAATGGGCCAAAATTCACCCAACTTATTGTGGGAAGCTTGTGGAAGGCTACCCAAAACATTTGACCCAAGTTAAACAATGTAAAGGCAATGCTACCAAATACTAATTGACTGTATGTAAACTTCTGACCCACTGGGAATGTGATGAAAGAAATAAAAGCTAAAATAAATCATTCTCTCTACTATTATTATGACATTTCACATTCTTAAAATAAAGTGGTGATCCTAACTGACCTAAGACAGGGAATTATTACAAGGATTAAATGTCAGGAATTGTGAAAAACTGAGTTTAAATGTATTTGGCTAAGGTGTATGTAAACTTCCAACTTCAACTGTATGTGTAGCTGTGGCAGGTTTTTAGGTATAAAACATTACAACTATGTTCTCTTTACATAGTTGGTCTATTGAACCAGGAAGTGGAATGGTCAAGGGCAATACTCATTGTATTACTGTATTGGGTATTACAATCTGTGCCTGGATGTCCTGAGCACTGCTGGCTTTCTGTTCTACCTGATAATAATTGTACCCACCTAGTGTCCCAGGTCTAAATCAAATTAAATCAAATGTATTTATAAAGCCCTTTTTACATCAGCAGATGACAGAAAGTGCTTATACAGAAACCCAGCCTGAAACCCCAAACAGCAAACAATGCAGATGTAGAAGCACGGTGGCTAAAAACTCCCTAGAAAGGCAAAACCTAGGAAGAATCCTAGAGAGGAACCAGGCTCTGAGGGGTGGCCAGTCCTCTCCTGGCTATACTGGGTAGAGAGGAACCAGGCTCTGAGGGGTGGCCAGTCCTCTTCTGGCTGTGCCGGGTGGAGATTATAACAGTACATGGCCATTAAGGCCAGATTTTTCTTACATTTGACATTTACATTTTAGTCATTTAGCAGACGCTCTTATCCAGAGCGACTTACAGTTAGTGAGTGCATACATTTAAAAAAATGTTTTCATACTGGCCCACCTTCTTCAAGATGTTCAAACGTTCATAGATGACCAGCAGGGTCAAATAATAATCACAGTGGTTGTAGAGGGTGCAACAGGTCAGCACCTCAGGAGTAAATGTCAGTTGGCTTTTCATAGCCGAGCATTCCGAGGTCAAGACAGCAGGTGTGTGTGTGTGTGTGAGAGAGAGGGTCGAAAACAGCAGGTCCGGGACAAGGTAGCACGTCCGGTGAACAGGTCAAGGTTCCATAGCCGGAGGCAGAACAGTTGAAACTGGATCAGCAGCACGACCAGGTGGACTGGGGACAGCCAGGAGTCTTCAGGACAGGTAATCCTGAGGCATGGTCCTAGGGCTCAGGTCCTCCCAGAGGTAGAGATAGATGGGGGAGGGAGAGAGTGATGGGAGAATTAGAGGGAGCATTCTTCAATTCACACAGGACACCAGATAAGACAGGAGAATTACACCAGATAGGACAGACTGACCCTAGCCCCCCGGCACATAGACTATTGCACATAATTTGCCAAAGCACAGCCCCCACACCACTAGAGGGATATAAACAGACCACCAACTTACTACCCTGAGACAAGGCTGAGTATAGCCCAGGAAGATCTCCTCCACCGCATGAGCCTGAGAGGGTCGCAAAACCGGACAGGAAGATCACGTCAGTGACTCAACCCACTTAAGTTGAGTATAGCGAAAAAGGCCTGGCACGACGTGACGCACCCCTCCTAGGGACGGCATGGGAGAGCACTAGTAAGCCAGTGACTCAGTCCCCAATAGGGTCAGAGGCAGAGAATCAAAGTGGAGAGAGGGGAGCCGGCCAGGCAGAGACAGCAAGGGCGGTGCGTCGCTCCAGTGCCTTGCCGTTCACCTTCGCACCCCTGGGCCAGACTCCACTCAATCATAGGACCTATTGAAGAGAGTCTTCAGTAAAGACTTAAAGGTCGAGACCGAGTCTGCATCTCTCACATGGATAAGGAGAAAGCCCTGCCTCCAGCTGTTTGCTTCGAAATTCTAGGGACAATAAGGAGGCCTGCGTCTTGTGACCGTAGCGTACGTGTAGGTATGTACGGCAGGACCTAATCGGAGAGATAGGTACGAGAAAGTCCATGTAATGCTTTGTAAGTTAGCAGTAAAACCTTGAAATCAGCCCTAGCCTCAACAGGAGGCTATCACTGGAGTAATATGATCACATTTTTATCAGTCCCTGATAAGAGGGGAAGAATGAAAATCAGCAGTGGAACTGGACTGGAGGTCCAGATTGGAGTATCCCTGCTCTATTATTTAGTGACATCATCACTGTATCATTTCATTCCTGTATTCCAGACTTACAATGTATCATTTAACTTCCTGGATTCCAGACTTACGATGTATCATTTCACTTCCTGTATTCCAGACTTACGACGAATCATTTCACTTCCTGTATTCCAGACTTACGATGTATAATTTCACTTCCTGTATTCCAGACATACGAGTGCCTCTGTGTCCCCGGATGGGAGGGCAAGTTCTGCCAACAGGAAATAGACGAGTGTTCGTCACAGCCGTCCAAAAACAACGCCACCTGTACCGACCTCTCACACAAGTGTTGGTACCACCCTGATTTCACCTGGGAAAGCTTACCATAGGTCACAGTAGGGTCTGATTCTCACCCTAGGCAAAGCTACCAGTAGGACCACGTAGTGTTCTGATTCACCTAGGGACAGGTACACATAGTTGGGCAAAACCAGTAGGTTACCCCAGGCAAGTCCAGTAGGTACCACGTAGGTTGTCTGATTCCACCTAGGGCAAAGCTACCAGTACCTAGAGAAGTTGTGTCCTTGATTCTCACCATTGGCAAAGCTTACCAGAAGATACCACAGTAGGGTTGTTGTCTGATTCTCACCTCTCACCCTAGGGCAAAGCTAAACCAGGTACCAGTAGGGTTGTGTCTGACTCCCAGAGAAAGCAACCATAGGTACCACAGTAGGGTTGTGTCTGATTCTCACCCTAGGGCAAAGCTACCAGTAGGTACCACAGTAGGGTTGTGTCTGATTCTCACCATTGGGCAAAGCCAAGCTGTACTGGGCTGGCCTGGTTACAGATCCACCAACTGAAAAGAACAATTTGAAAAGAACATATCAGAGCCAGTACAGTGTGGGTCCACCCTATAGTGTTAATCAGACAGTACAGTGTGGGTCCACCCTATAGTGTTAATCAGACAGTACAGTGTGGGTCCACCCTATAGTGTTAATCAGACAGTACAGTGTGGGTCCACCCTATAGGTTAATACCAGTAAGGGGCATTAGATAGCCAGTGTGGGTCACCTATAGTGTTATCAACAGTACAGTGTGGGTCCACCCATATAGTGTTAATCAGACAGTACATTGTACTACAGTGTTATCTCGTCATTCCTATCAGCTAGCAGTCACATAATAAATGCAAGGAGGCCTTGCTCAGATAGCCTGGGGTGGTCTAGCTGTTATGGCCTCGGCCTCAGCACTGGCAAACCCATGTTGGCGTGGGTTCGAATCCAGCCCACTGCCCTTGTAACACGAACCCTCTCCTATCTTTCCTCTCACTCTCTCTATCCAAGAAAATATGAAAAATACCAGAGAGAGAGAAGGAGGAAAATGCTCAGATAGTGATCATATTTAGTGATTATATTTCCACCTAGCTACCAGCAGCAGCGATAATGAACTGCAGATGGCAGGTCAAACTAATGAATCAATCAATGGCTCGCAGCATGAAGGGTTTCTGGGGATCTGTGAGTCATCGGGAGGGAAAACGGCTGTATTTGCTCTACCTAATGTGTCTTCACAGGGGGGGGGAGGATGGAGAGACAGAGAGAGAGGAGGGGGAGAGAGAGAGGGAGATAGAGGATGGAGAGACGGAGATAGAGGATGGAGAGACGGAGATAGAGGAGGGGGAGAGAGAGAGGGAGATAGAGGATGGAGATAGAGGAGGGGGAGAGAGAGAGGGAGATAGAGATGGGTAGAGAGGGGAGAGAGAGGGGAGATAGAGGGGAGAGACGAGAGAGGGGAGATAGAGGATGGAGAGGAGATAGAGAGGGGGAGAGAGAGAGGGAGATAGAGGATGGAGAGACGGAGATAGAGGAGGGAGAGATAGAGGAGGGGGAGGAGAGATAGAGGAGGGGGAGGAGAGAGAGAGGAGGGAGGGAAAACTGGTATATCTGCTCTACCTTGAGGGAGGAGGGGAGGAGAGAGCGAGAGAGAGAACTTAAGTTCACACAGGACACCACATAAGAGAGAGGATAGAGGGAAATAACATGTTAGTTAAATCATTAACACATATCATTTATTTTGTAGAAACGATCCCCAACCTTTGTATTATATGTGAATATCAATATCAACCAGAGCTCTCCTTTCCTACCGGTTCCCTCTTAATGCTATGTTGCTAGTTACATCATAAACACATAGGCCTAGAATTTATTTTAAAATAAAATATATCCAACCTTTGTGTAGAGAACACCAATACCAACCCTAACTCCTTCTGTCTCCCCAGGTGTCTGTGCCCGCGGGGCTGGGCAGGTGTGGACTGCTCTGTGGATGTGGATGAGTGTGACTCTGGGCCCTGTCTGAACGGAGCTCAGTGTCAGGAGTCACCCCTACCTGGGGAGTTCAGCTGCACCTGCCCCCCCTTCTTCAGTGGGCCCTTATGCAATGTACCCTTTGACCCATGTGACCCCGCCCACAACCCCTGCCTGCACAATGCCACCTGCCTGACTCATTCTGATGGAACAGCAGCCTGCAGATGCCGACCCGGTGAGCTACTATTAGTTCCTGTGGTGTAGTCCAGTGATCTACTATTATAGCCTGTGGTGTAGTCCAGTGAGCTGCTATTAGTTCCTGTGGTGTAGACCAGTGAACTACTATTAGTTCCTGTGGTGTAGACCAGTGAACTACTATTAGTTCCTGTGGTGTAGTCCAGTGAGCTACGATTATAGCCTGTGGTGTAGTTCAGTGAACTACTATTATAGCCTGTGGTGTAGTCCAGTGAGCTACTATTAGTTCCTGTGGTGTAGTCCACTGAGCTACTGATAGTTCCTGTGGTGTAGACCAGTGAGCTACTATTAGTTCCTGTGGTGTAGTCCAGCGAGCTACTATTAGTTCCTGTGGTGTAGACCAGTGAACTACTATTAGTTCCTGTGGTGTAGTCCAGTGAGCTACTATTATAGCATGTGGTGTAGTCCAGTGAGCTACTATTAGTTCATGTGGTGTAGTCCAGTGAGCTACTATTAGTTCCTGTGGAGTAGTCCAGTGAGCTAATATTAGTTCCTGTGGTGTAGTCCAGTGAGCTACTATTAGTTCCTGTAGTGTAGACCAGTGAACTACTATTAGTTCCTGTGGTGTAGACCAGTGGTCTACTATTATAGCCTGTGGTGTAGTCCAGTGAGCTACTATTAGTTCCTGTGGTGTAGACCAGTGAGCTACTATTAGTTATTGTGGTGTAGACCAGTGAACTACTATTAGTTCATGTGGTGTAATCCAGTGAGCTACTATTAGTTCCTGTGGTGTAGACCAGTGAACTACTATTATTTATTGTGGTGTAGACCAGTGAACTAGTATTAGTTCCTGTGTTGTAGTCCATTGAGCTACTATTAGTTCCTGTGGTGTAGACCAGTGAACTACTATTAGTCCCTGTGGTGTAGACCAGTGATCTACTATTATAGCCTGTGGTGTAGTCCAGTGAGCTACTATTATAGCCTGTGGTGTAGACCAGTGAACTACTATTAGTTCCTGTGGTGTAGACCAGTGAACTACTAGTAGTTCCTGTGGTGTAGTCCAGTGAGCTACTATTAGTTCATGTGGTGTAGACCAGTGAGCTACTATTATAGCCTGTGGTGTAGTAAAGTGATCTACTATTAGTTCCTGTGGTGTAGTCCAGTGAGCTATTATTTCCTGTGGTGTAGTCCAGTGATCTACTATTATAGCCTGTGGTGTAGTCAAGTGAGCTACTATTAGTTCCTGTGGCGTAGTCCAGTGAGCTACTATTAGTTACTGTGGTGTAGTCCAGTGAGCTATTAGTTCCTGTGGTGTAGTACAGTGATCTACTATTATAGCCTGTGGTGTAGTCCAGTGAACTACTATTAGTTCCTGTGGTGTAGACCAGTGAGCTACTATTATTTCCTGTGGTGTAGTCCAGTGATCTACTATTATAGCCTGTGGTGTAGTCCAGTGAGCTACTATTAGTTCCTGTGGCGTAGTCCAGTGAGCTACTATTAGTTACTGTGGTGTAGTCCAGTGAGCTATTAGTTCCTGTGGTGTAGTACAGTGATATACTATTATAGCCTGTGGTGTAGTCCAGTGAACTACTATTATTTCCTGTGGTGTAGTCCAGTGATCTACTATTAGTTCCTGTGGTGTAGACCAGTGAGCTACTATTATAGCCTGTGGGGTAGACCAGTGAGCTACTATTAGTTCCTGTGGTGTAGTCCAGTGAGATACTATTAGTTCCTGTGGTGTAGTCCAGTGAGCTACTATTAGTTCCTGTGGTGTATTCCAGTGATCTACTATTATAGCCTGTGGTTTAGTCCAGTGAACTACTATTAGTTATTGTGGTGTAGTCCAGTGAGCTACTATTAGTTCCTGTGGTGTAGACCAGTGAGCTACTATTATAGCCTGTGGTGTAGTCCAGTGAGCTACTATTAGTTCCTGTGGTGTAGTCCAGTGAGCTACTATTAGTTCCTCTGGTGTTGTCCAGTGAGCTACTATTAGTTCCTGTGGTGTAGACCAGTGATCTACTATTATAGCCTGTGGTGTAGTCCAGTGAACTACTATTAGTTCCTGTGGTGTAGTCCAGTGAGATACTATTAGTTCCTGTGGTGTAGACCAGTGAACTACTATTAGTTCCTGTGGTGTAGATCAGTGAACTACTATTAGTTCCTGTGGTGTAGATCAGTGAACTACTATTAGTTCCTGTGGTGTAGACCAGTGATCTACTATTATAGCCTGTGGTGTAGTCCAGTGAGCTACTATTATAGCCTGTGGTGTAGTCCAGTGAGCTACTATTAGTTAATGTAGTGTAGTCCAGTGAGCTACTATTAGTTCCTGTGGAGTAGTCCAGTGAGCTACTATTAGTTCCTGTGATGTAGTCCAGTGAGCTACTATTAGTTCCTTATTGTAGACCAGTGAACTATTAGTTCCTGTGGTGTGGACCAGTAGTCTACTATTATAGCCTGTGGTGTAGTCCAGTGAGCTACTATTAGTTCCTTATTGTAGACCAGTGAACTATTAGTTCCTGTGGTGTGGACCAGTAGTCTACTATTATAGCCTGTGGTGTAGTCCAGTGAACTACTATTATAGCCTGTGGTGTAGACCAGTGAACTACTATTAGTTCCTGTGTTGTAGTCCAGTGAGCTACTATTAGTTCCTGTGGTGTAGACCAGTGATCTACTATTAGTTCCTGTGGTGTAGACCAGTGAGCTACTATTATAGCCTGTGGTGTAGTCCAGTGAACTACTATTATAGCCTGTGGTGTAGTCCAGTGAGCTACTATTAGTTCCTGTGGTGTAGTCCAGTGAGCTAGTAGAGTAGATAACAATTCCAGTAGGGTCATTTGATGGATACCAGTGATCCACTATTTTCCAGTAGGATATTTGATGTAGACCGGTGATTTACTATTATACCAGTAGGATATTTGATGTAGACCAGTGATCTACTATTATACCAGTAGGATATTTGATGTAGCCCGGTGAGCTAAAACAGCCCTTCAGGTTGTGTAGTGCTGCCAAAATGCCCAATTAAATGTTTTTGAAATTAGAAAAACCATAGAAACAGAGTGCTTTCATGTAGCCTGCTTTCAGGTGGTGTAATGGCTCATAATGCCCAATTAAATGTTATGAAATAAAAAGGGTGAGTTGTCACAAACACAGCCACACTGAGTATACAAAACATGCTCTTTCCATGACATAGACTGACCAAGTGAAAGCTATGATCTCTAATTAATGTAACTTGTTAAATCCACTTCAATCAGTGTAGATGAAGGGGAGGAGATAGGTTAAAGAAGGATATTTAAGCCTTGAGACAACTGAGACATGGATTGTGTATGTGTGCCATTCAGAGGGTGAATGGGCAAGACAAAAGATTTAAGTGCCTTTGAACGGGGTATGGTAGTAGGTATCAGGCGCACTGGTTTGATTGTGTCAGAAACTGCAACGCTGTTGGGTTTTTCATGCTCAACAGTTCCCCGTGTGTATCAGGAATGGTCCACCACCCAAAGGTCATCCAGCCAACTTGACACAACTGTGGGAAACATTGGAGTCAACATGGGCCAGCATCCCTGTGGAAAGCTTTCGACACCTTGTAGTCCATGCCCCGACAACTTGAGGCTGTTCTGAGGGCAAACTCAATATTAGGAAGGTCTTCCAAATGTTTTGTACACTCAGTGTAGACACTGAGTACCTTGGTATAGGTCTCTCAGGTCGTGTGATGGGACTTTAATGTCCAATTAAATATTTAGACATGTACGAGAAAAAAAAATGTTTCAGTCTAGTGAACATGTTTACATTCCATCCATTTAGTCAGAGTCTGAGAATGAGACCTGTCACATAATAGGTGATACAAAATGGTCTTGCATTGTGTTTCACTGTTTTTGACTAGTTTCTGGTGTGGTGTGTGCGTGCTTGTGCATGCGCACGTGTGTGTGTGTGTGCGTGCTTGTGCGCGTGTGTTTGTGCGTGCTTGTGCGTGCTTGTGCGTGCTTGTGCGTGTGTGTGTGTGTGTGTGTGTGTGTGTGTGTGTGTGTGTGTGTGTGTGTGTGTGTGTGTGTGTGTGTGTGTGTGTGTGTGTGTGTGTGTGTGTGTGTGTGTGCCTGTAGGTTTGCTTAGCCCACATGGAGGACTGCAACAGATCTCTGGTGGTGTTTGTTCCTTATTGTCCCCAGCTTGTGGTTAGAATGATCAATGGCTCTAAGAACTAAACAACTGAACAGAACAACCTGTAGTTCTAACTAGACTAGTAGGCTCTCCCTCCCGTGTGTGTGTGTGTGTGTGTGTGTGTGCCTGTAGTTTTGCTTAGGCCACATGGAGGACTGCAACAGATCTGTGGTGGTGTTTGTTCCTTATTGTCCCCAGCTTGTGGTTAGAATGATCAATGGCTCTAAGAACTAAACAACTGAACAGAACAACCTGTAGTTCTAACTAGACTAGTAGGCTCTCCCTCCCGTGTGTGTGTGTGTGTGTGTGTGTGTGTGTGTGTGTTTGTGTGTGTGCTCGTGCGCGCGTGTGTGTGCGTGTAGAAGTGAAACACCCTACCAGAGGCTGTTGTTCATTCACTGTGGCATGTATGATGGGGAACAACAGATCTTATCAATTCACTGGGCAATTGCAATTCACCCCTGCAGATTTGATTTGCAGTTGTTCCAAGCTGTGCTGCAACAACCTGTTTATAAGGCAAGTTTGATGCGTGTTAGATAAATCTAATCAAATGAAACAATTTATTTGTTACATACTTCCTAAACAACAGCTGTAGACTAACAGTGAAATGCTTACTTAAGGGCCCTTCCCAACAATACAGAGAGAAAATAAAATAGAGAAATAATAAAACATGTAATAATAAAAGTAATAATAGATCCACAATGAGTAACGATAACTTGTCTATATACACGGGGTACCAGTACTGAGTAATGATAACTTGTCTATATACACGGGGTACCAGTACTGAGTAATGATAACTTGTCTATATACACGGGGTACCAGTACTGAGTAATGATAACTTGTCTATATACACGGGGTACCAGTACTGAGTAATGATAACTTGTCTATATACACGGGGTACCAGTACTAAGTAATGATAACTTGTATATATATACACAGGGTACCAGTACTGAGTAATGATAACTTGTCTATATACACAGGGTACCAGTACTGAGTAATGATAACTTGTCTATATACACGGGGTACCAGTACTGAGTAATGATAACTTGTCTATATACACGGGGTACCAGTACTGAGTAATGATAATGTGTCTATATACACGGGGTACCAGTACTGAGTAATGATAACTTGTCTATATACACGGGGTACCAGTACTGAGTAATGATAACTTGTCTATATACACAGGGTACCAGTACTGAGTAATGATAACTTGTCTATATACACGGGGTACCAGTACTGAGTAATGATAATGTGTCTATATACACGGGGTACCAGTACTGAGTAATGATAACTTGTCTATATACACGGGGTACCAGTACTGAGTAATGATAACTTGTCTATATACACGGGGTACCAGTACTGAGTAATGATAACTTGTCTATATACACGGGGTACCAGTACTGAGTAATGATAACTTGTCTATATACACGGGGTACCAGTACAGAGTCAATGTGCAGGGGTACGAGGTCATTGAGGTATGTATGTACAGTACCAGTCAAACGTTTGGACACACCTACTCATTCAAGGGTTTTTCTATATTATTACTATTTTATACATTGTAGAATAATAATGAAGACATCAAAACTATGAAATAACACATATGGAATCATGTAGTAACCAAAAAATGTTAAACAAATCAAAATATATTTGAGATTTGAGATTCTTCAAAGTAGCCACCCGTTGCCTTGATGACAGCTTTGCACACTCTTGGCAAACATTTCTAAAAACCTGTTTTTGAAAAACAATTGAATCAATTTTAGTAAAGGGGTCTGAATACTTTCCGAAGGCACTGTACACACACTGCAGAGCACATTAGACATGATTGACATTAACTGTTTGTAAAATCAACACCACCCCTTGCCATCTTCCAGGTTAATTAACTGTACGAACGTTATACATTTTTAATTGGTGGTTGTATGTCGGCGAGGTGCGTGACACAAGGAGTGAACCTGAAGGGCCCACATCAGAGGCACAGAGATAGGATGATATGACTGGAGAAGGCACCATGTACAGTATCACAGAGATAGGATGATATGACTGGAGAAGGCACCATGTACAGAATCACAGAGATAGGATGATATGACTGGAGAAGGCACCATGTACAGTATCACAGAGATAGAATGATATGACCAGAGATGACACCACATACAGTATCACAGAGATAGGATGATATGACTGGAGATGGCACCACGTACAGTATCACAGAGATAGGATGATATGACTGGAGATGGCACCACGTACAGAATCACAGAGATAGGATGATATGACTGGAGATGGCACCACGTACAGAATCACAGAGATAGGATGATATGACTGGAGAAGGCACCACGTACAGTATCACAGAGATAGGATGATATGACTGGAGATGACACCACGTACAGTATCACAGAGATAGGATGATATGACTGGAGATGGCACCACGTACAGTATCACAGAGATAGGATGATATGACTGGAGATGGCACCACGTACAGTATCACAGAGATAGGATGATATGACTGGAGAAGGCACCATGTACAGTATCACAGAGATAGGATGATATGACTGGAGAAGGCACCATGTACAGTATCACAGAGATATAATGATATGACCAGAGATGACACCACGTACAGTATCACAGAGATAGGATGATATGACTGGAGATGGCACCACGTACAGTATCACAGAGATAGGATGATATGACCGGAGATGGCACCACGTACAGTATCACAGAGATAGGATGATATGACTGGAGATGGCACCACGTACAGTATCACAGAGATAGGATGATATGACTGGAGATGACACCACGTACAGTATCACAGAGATAGGATGATATGACTGGAGATGGCACCACGTACAGTATCACAGAGATAGGATGATATGACCGGAGATGGCACCACGTACAGTATCACAGAGATAGGATGATATGACTGGAGATGGCACCACATACAGTATCACAGAGATAGGATGATATAACCGGAGATGGCACCACGTACAGTATCACAGAGATAGGATGATATGACTGGAGATGGCACCACATACAGTATCACAGAGATAGGATGATATGACTGGAGATGGCGCCACGTGTGTGTAGATGTGCGTGTGTGTGTGTGTGTGTGTGTGTGTCACCAGAGATGACATCACAGGCAGAAAGAAGTCTTGTGTAAATGAAGTGTTCATGTAATATTTATCACACAATGATGCATGGTTCCTATCTGGTACAAGCCCCTCCACACACACACACTCACAAAAACACACACACACTCACAAAAAACACACACACACACACACACAAACCTCACACACCTCACACTGCATTACAGGAACAAGCCCTTGTACAGGATGTAATTATTTTAAAAGCAGAGTAAGAAAACAGGAATGGAATAACGTGCTCTCACCTAAAAGACCTGAGCTTCACTTTAACAGCCGGGGGTTAAGAATTGGTGTTGCCATAGTTTCCTCAACAGAGGAGGAAGGAGAGGAGGAGGAGAAGGAGAAGGATGAAGAGGAGAAGAGAAGCAAAGGGAAGGATAGAGTGGCGTTAGAGTAGCTTAGTAAAACAGATGGTAATGTGTTGCACTCTGGGAAAAAGCATTCTTCAGAACCTCTCCTCCTCTCCCCTTCCCTCATCTCTTCTCCCCTTCCCTCATCTTTCCTCTCCTCTCTTCTCCTCTCTTTTCCTCTCCTCTCCTCTCCTCTTAGAAAAAAAGCTATCTTTAAAACATTTGTGGATATTTTTAGTTTTTTTGCGGGTGGGTGAAAGGATTCTACCTAGAACCATGAAGGGTGACTGGACAGGGATGAGCCAGAACAGCACTTTATCTAAGAGTGTAGTTTCAGCAGAGCAGGTTGAGTGGTGACAAATAGAGCACCTTCAGCCCCTCAGTGTCATGGTGTCACCTCTGGGCCTGGTAGACACATGGTGATGATCGTGGCCACTCATGGAGCCTTGAGTACCTGTTTGTTGTCTGTGTAACCATGGTAGCGGGAAGGGTTTTCTTCTTCAAGGGTCTCTCCTGGAAATTGAAATCGGTGTCTATAAGAAGAAACATATTCAAGGCATTGCTAAGATAGTTCCAAACCAATAGATATGCTTACAGACATAGCAGTGGAAAATATGTACAGTCCAGTCCAGGTACCTTTCAAGTCCTATGTACATTCAAACGATTGTATAGTTCATAACCAATAGTATATAGACATAGGATATAGACATATCTTCTCACCAACAATGTACATCCTACAGTACCATCCAGGTGAGTCAATGTCTGTGTCCCAAATAGTACCCTATTCCCTACATAATGCACTACATTTGACCAGGGCCCATAAGACTCTGGTCAAAATTAGTGCACTATAAAGGGAATGAGGTGCCATTTGGGACGCAACCAATATGTTTCCACCTGTTTGTCCCACCACCAGGTCTCTGATGTCTCCGTTAGCTCCTCTCAGCGCCACAGGGAGCTATTTGAGGAGAGAACCATTATATTGATGGGCTTGTTATGAATTGCAGCCCGGGAGAGAGGCGAACCAAACTAAAAGGAATCAGATTATCTGGCAAGATGGAGTGAAATAATTCAGAAGCGTCGTCGTCCGTTGGTCGCTCCGCATCGCTTTACATTTGCACTCAGCAACATGGAGCTGGGTAGGAATATCCCTCAGGTATCCCAGACCAGTAGTGCACGTGTGTGCATCTATCAGTTACACATACTTGTCAGTACTAGGGCTGTTGCGGAGACCGTATTACTGCCACACCGGAAGTCATCTGTCATGACCGCAGTAAAATTCCACGTGACAGTAATCTCCTTTTATGCACTCTGGATATGCGTTAGTAGTACCCAACTGCTGACGATCATCGGGTCACTAATGGCCTGGTACCCAGCGCTCTATTGTCCCTCTAACCACTCTGACATCAATGCAAATGCAATCGAAAATCACATCAAACACTTATCTTCAAAACAGTGTCGTGCTTTTAAAATGCAACTTCAGTGTGATCAGTCAATTTGAAGAAAGAAGTTCAACAACAGGTTGAAACTGAGTGGAAAACATGGTCGTTGTTTCAAAGCCTAACACAACTAAATGGACACCTCTTTCTAAAGGTGATGATTAATTCAAAACACATACTGTTAGAGCTTATTCATACCATAGACCTGTTTATGAGCCCAAGCCCAAAATCCCCCCTGAATTAAAATAATGATTGTGCCGTTATACAATACAAAGCCTAATATCCTACTGCATATTACACATGGCAGAAAGATGCTGTTCGTTCATTACAAAGCCTAATATCCTACTGCATATTACACATGGCAGAAAGATGCTGTTCGTTCATTACAAAGCCTAATATCCTACTGCATATTACACATGGCAGAAAGATGCTGTTCGTTCATTACAAAGCCTAATATCCTACTGCATATTACACATGGCAGAAAGATGCTGTTCGTTCATTGATTGTGCAGGGCGGCTTACATAGTTAGTCTACAATTATAGTGAATTTGTCTTTGATTTTGAATAGTCTAGTAATAGGGCATTTGTTTTATATTTTCAACAGCATCTTTCAACCTGCTGTTGAACTTCTTTCTTCAAATTGACTGATGACAGTGAGGTGCGTTTTAAAAGCACGACACTGTTTTGATGATAAATGTTTGATGTGATTTTTTATTAATAGGCTGACACATGACCTTTAGCTACAGAATATCTCACCACCCGTGCGTTTCCATCTCCTCTCTCTCTCTCTCCTTCATCCCTTTCTTGGGCGCACAGAGAGAGGGGCTGTTCAACCGTTTCATTAAATATGTTTCGTTGTGAAAACATGTTACTATCGATGTTCCCCGAACAAATTTCACTTGGTTTGCCTAATTAAGCACTGGGTAGCTGCAGGAACAGGGTTGGAGAGCCCGTGGATTAGCGAGAGGCTGCGTGCTCCTCAAACAGTGGTTGATGGCTGGAGTGAAATAAGTGTTCTTATAAGGCCAGACATTTCTTTATGCAATCGCGTGTGAAAGCAGGGTTTTGATGGTTGCCACTATATTTATTTATCAGCTGCTCATATTAAGCACATGCTCCGCTATGAAACCGGAGGAGCCTACTCAGCATCATTGAAAAAAACGAACTGCGGGAAAGCGGCCTCCATTCGTTATTCGAGTGCATACTGATGACATGTATTTTTTTCCCCTGCCACTGTTCCTGCCCGTTTTGATAATGGACCATTTGTAAATCGAAACAAATTTAGCATGTTAGTAAAAATAGTCTGATGGGTGAAAATATGATCACTTGATGAGAGAACAGCGTGTGCAGCCTGAGGCAAGGAACTTTCTCAAATCATCAATAGCCTATAGCCACATCATGCAGCCTGAGGCAAGGAACTTTCTCAAATCATCAATAGCCTATAGCCACATCATGCAGCCTGAGGCAAGGAACTTTCTCAAATCATCAATAGCCTATAGCCACATCATGCAGCCTGAGGCAAGGAACTTTCTCAAATCATGCAGCCATATTTGTTTTGTTGGCAATCTAAGGTTCGTATCCTTTACTGCTAAAGTTGCCAAATAACTAAATCTAACGTATAGGACTTGTTTCAAATGATCACGTTTACGCTCAACATAGCCACTTCATATACGCACTCACTCCGGAAAGGGAAAAATATAATTTATATTTTATTCAGCTAAGTTCAATTATATTATTCTTACTATAAAATCATTTAATAATAAAATAATGGCACAGAACTTATAAGCATATCTTGTCTGCTAAATGAACAAGCCTACAGCCAATGGCATGGAGCATAGCCAGATAACATACAGTAGGCCAACTCATATTCTGTTCTTCTAAAAAAAAACATTTTCTTCATATCATAAAGTTTCTTTAGACCTACCTAAACTAAATGGATTATTATATATTAAATAGATTTATTAGACTTGTTCAAATGTAGATGTTCCAAAGGCGTGCATCAGCGGCTTGAATGTGTGGAGGCCTGGAGATGCTAGATGTGTTTATGTTGATTAACAGACAATTACCAGTGAGACCGGCATCATTTGCATGACAATAACCTGATAAAATGTCATGACCGCAACAGCCCTAGTCAGTACATACACTCAACAAGTAGGTCACACGAGGGAGAGACGTTGTGAGGTGTTGCTTTATTAGTTTTTTTTAAACCAGGTTTGCTGTTCACTTGCACTATATTATATGGAAGGGAGTTCCATGCACTCATGGCTCTATATAATACTGTACATTTCCTTGAATATGTTGTGGACCTGGGGACTATGAAAAGACCCCTGGTGGCATGTCTGGTGGGGTAAGTGTGTGTGTCAGAGCTGTGTGTATGTTGATTATGCAAACAATTTGGAATTTCCAACACATTCAAATTTCTTATAACAATTTTAAGCGATGCAGTCAGTCATTACTCAACTCTTAGCCAAGAGAGACTGCCATGCATAGTATTAATATTAGCCCTCTGATTACAATGAAGAGCAAGACGTGCCACTCTGTTCTGGACCAGCTGCACCTGAACTAGGTCTTTCTTTGCAGCACTTTTAGAGATGTTCAGGACCAGTTTATTACTGCCCACCCGTTCTATAACTGACTGCAACTCTTTGTTTAGGGTTGCAGTGATTTCACTAGATGTGGTTGCTGACGCGTATAGGGTTGAATCATCAGCATACATGGACACATGTTTTGTTTAATGCCAGTGGCAGGTCATTGGTGGGGCGGCAGGTAGCTTAGTGGGTAAGAGCGTTGTGCCAGTAACCGAAAGGTCGCTGGTTCTAATCCCCGAGCCGACTAGGTGAAAAATCTGTCGATGTGCCCTTAAGCAAGGCACTTAACCCTAATTGCTCATGTAAGTCGCTCTGGATAAGAGCGTCTGCTAAATGACTAAAATGTAAATGTAAAATGTATTGGTAAAAATAGAAAGAGTAGAGGGCCTAGAGAGCTGCCCTGGTTAACATTAGAGAAGCTTCCATTAAAGAAAACCCTTTGAGTTCTATTAGATAGATAGCTCTGAATCCACGATATGGCAGAGGTTGAAAAGCCATAACACATAAGTGTTTTCAACAACAGGTTATGGTCAATAATGTCAAAGGCTGCACTGAAATCCAACACTACAGCTCCCACAATCTTCTTATTATCAAGAAAAGCCTTAGATTCATGCGCTGACATGATCATAACAATCCACCACCCCTCTCTATCCCTGTCTCTGTGCATGAAGCGCCTGCATCATGTCATTACCGTGCCCTCCACTGCCAGAGAGCAAATTGTCCCCATCTTGTATGGTGAATGGAGTGTCTGGGAAAATAACTGGACCATAGAATAGCTGTGTAGCATCAGCTAACTTTCAGATATGGAATGGTACGTCCCAAATGACACCCTATTCCCTACATAGCGGCCTATGGACCAGGGCCCAGAGTAGTGCACTACATAGGGAATAAGGTATCATTTGGGATGCGGCTGATATCAATATGTGACTCAGATCAAAGTGTCTGAAGGAGAGAATCCAAGTTTCAGTCAGTATCCCAACTCATGCTGTAATAAATGTTTTGGGTCCATCAAATTAGCTTTACA